ACACCTCCACATGGGGGGCGGAGGGGAGCAGATATAATCATCAGGCTGCCTCAATAAAAAGGCTCCCTTGGACTATTTTTAAATGCAGAGAGCGTTAGAGCATGTTCAGAGCAACACAAAGAGCCCAATCACCTGGGGTTACTGGGGCCTCTTGTTATTTGACTTCACCTCACCAAGAAAGCACAATTTATGTTAAGCTCCCTCTCAGCATAATCTCATCGCTGTTGACAACAGGGCTAGTAAGAGCAGGCTGGGAGATGCTTCACTAGAGAGTCTCTCCGGGTTTAGGGAGTAATGATGTTGCCATTGCTAATAAAATAAAATAAATAATAAATAATAATAATAATTAATTATATTTTATTATTATTATTTTACCTAGATCTTACAGAGGACTTCTTTTCTCAGACAGGGTGGGGGCGCAGTGTTTGCAAACCCACCGCTGGGAGCATTAGAAAGCAAACCTAATCCTCCCCCATCCCCCCACTAGACAAACAAAGAAATGCAACTGCATATCAGCTCAGGATGCAGTTTAAAAACTGCCCTCCTTAGTATCTTGGAAGTCCCCAGCCAGCCCCAGGGCCTACCTTCCCTGTGGGAGGTAATGGCACCAATTTACCCCAACAATAAATTCAGCTCCTTGCCTCTCAGGCCTTTCCACAACTGGGCCCCTCAGTGAAGAACCCAGGTGTCTTAGTGGCTCAGAATTTTGTCCCTTTTAAAGTCCCAGGCATGTGTAGCGAGGGGTCACACCACTCGCTCCCCTCCACTCTCATCTGGCATCAGTCCCCTCTCTGACAATCTTGACAGTCTGGGCACAAGAGCCTTCTCCTTTGCAACTCTGCTCTCTCTGATCTTCAAAGTCACCTGCAAACCTATTGAACTTCTCCCCTGCCCTCTGCTATGAATTTTGTGTTTAACTTTGTGAGCATATTCAGCTCTTGGGAGCAGCTTGCATGGGTGTTGTCTACAAGAGGTAGAATACAGGAGCCAGTAGTAATTCAAAGCACTCCAGAGCAGACCCAGAAGGGACCCAGAACAGGCAAACATCTGCACATAGGAGTTCAGAAAAAACATACAGGGTCTCTATACTCTCCAAACCCAGCAAAGCTGTATTCTGCACTAACTTCATGTACAGAGGGGGTGAGCAAGGGGCTGGGGGCCAGGCAGAGGTGCCCGCAGTGGGTTTGCACCTCCAGTGGCCATAGGCAGCCAAGTAGGGGTTTGCCTAGGGGTCATTGCTCCCACTCCAGCTGTGGAAGGGAATGCCTGGCTGGTCTAGGTACCGACCCTGGCTTGGGGGGTGGATTCTGCCTCCCCTCCAATCCCTGTGCACTTGGAGTTCATAAATGCCACTCTCAGGAATCATTATTACTTTGCTCCCTGTCTTTCCTTCTCTGGTTTCCTTCCATCCACCCTGATTTAAAAAGGCAGCAAGTAACTGGCTCATCCCACCAGACATCCAGGTTCACTGCTGGCTTTTGTGGCAAGATGGGGGAGGAAGAAGCCCTATGTACATGGCTAGCCAGTTCCTCCAAAAACCAGGCTCTCCAGGGAAAAAGCCAGTGTCCCAGTGACTCAGAATTTTGTCCCTTTTAAAGTCCACAGACCACATAGCCTGGGGTTGCATCATTAATGAGGCTCTCAGCACAGCAACCAGGAGCACCACAACTCAAGTACAGTTTATAGCAAGCAACTGGCTCTTTAAGGGTATATTAACAGTTCCCATGGAACATGTATATCCACCAAGCACAAGTTTATTTTCTGGAGCATCTATCATTCAAAATAGATCCGCCCCTCCTGCCCCCAAATTAAACCACTTTGCAAACAGCGCCACAACCATTCACATAAAAATACATGGGGCTTGCTTCTCATTTACATTAAGATCCCTTTACACTGTTCTGGCAGTGTAAAGGGGGTCTTAAAGTGGGCATAAACTGCACTGCCAGAAGTGTGCAAAGAGGCCTTGTATGTGTATGTTTTTAATAAGTTGCACTTTGACAGCTGGGAAAAGTTTTTTTTAAAGATCAAGAAATTTAGCAATTTATTTAATTGGAACAATGTCAAGTTTAAAAGAAAAACAACTGGTTTTGATTAAAAATCCTCAAACAAGTTTAAAAAAAATGGATATTTATATCTCTTTTCCATACATTTTTATCTCCTGATCCTCAGATATCCTCTGAAAGCAACCATTCCCCTTTAATGTATCCACTCTATTAAACAAGGGACCTCATTTATAATCTTCATGCAATGGGTTCTCTAGAGACTCCAAGCAGGCTTTTCAAAAGAACTCAGCACCCATTCACCTAACCAAAGTGACCAGGTTCTCAGAGCATAGCACCTAGCAGCACCCATTGTTCTCACCACATGCTCAGCACTTTTGGAAACCTGGACCCCATCACCTAACCTTCAAACAAAAAACAGACCCCCAAAGGCATAACATTAGGCAAGAAAGATCCTCAGCGGGGGTAAATCAGTGTGGTTGCATAGACTTTAATGGAGTGAAACGGATTTAAACCAGCTGAAAATTTGTCGTGTTGACTTTAGATGGAGCAATGCTGATTTACCCCAGCTGGGAATCTGGCCCATGGATACTTACCAGTTTCCCAGACATTGGAACCAACCCTCCCTCCCCACAGGCAAACCGCTAGTGGGAGAATTGCAGCAGGTTTCTGCGTTGCCTTCCATCACTCCATTCACAACACACACACTGCTGCATACAAAACAAATCAAAACACACCTCTCTGCTTCAGAGTTTGGGTCAGCGATGCTACCCAGACAGAAAACAACCACAGGCATCTTTCTGGCATCACATAACATTTCCAGTTTTGATTCGGCCTAACACATCTCTCTCTCTTTTAACTTTATTAAACAAAGGGGGCCTGATTCTCCATTGCCCAGCACCTTGTGCAATCATTAACATTGGTGCAAACCCTGCTGACCATGCTCACTCTGCTCTGGCGTAAATGACTCCACAAGGTGCAGGGCCATTGAGAATTGGGTCCAGGGAGATCTTCTTTGGTAGCAACATACCCCCACAACCCCTATCCCCTCTATTCGCAGAGACACTGGGTCAGATCCTGGGCTTGGTGGTATGAATCCAGAGTGAAATCCATTGACTTTAATAGAATTGCACTGAAATCAGACCCCTGAGGCACTTTTGCCCACGCTGGGGTCCTCTCAAGGCAGCAGGCACTTCACTGATGGCAAAAGGCCGAAAACTCGCCTTCACAGTAGAAAGTCAAGCCACCGAAGGCCCTATTGTTCCCAATACATGTTCCACTTAACCATGCACAACCATTAGTCATCCATATTTCTCCCTCTCTAATTCCCCCCTCATCTCTCCCTCTGGGAGCATCAACCTCAAGAAAGGACCCCCTTTGCCTTCCCACTCTCCTCACATCTGTCAAACAACAAAACTCCCTGTTAATGCAATTTTGACTCACAACCCAAGAGGAGGCATTTGGGTTTTGAACTGCAGTTTTTACCAGTCACACTTCCAGCGCATCAAGTTACTGGCTCAGGGAAAAAAAAAAAAAAACACACACCTCACTTAGCCACAGTTTTCCCCCCAACAACATAAAACTTCTCTCCGACAGCCGTATTAATTTTAACCCTGTGTTGGCACCGGACTGGTGGCTTCCAGCAATTCCTTCTACTTGGAAGACTAGAAGGGGGGGGGGGGAGATGGGCGACTTAGGAGTGGGTGTGGTATATATATAATTTTTTAAGCCCTCCTCCATTCTACCTCGCTTCGAATGGAGCCCGTAAAGAGAACAAAAGCATCACTGTCAAAGAGATTCTGGTCAGCTCCGGGAGGGGGGATAGAAAAGGAGGATGGAAAATAAAGAATAGGGCACAAGCAGGATTGTTAAATTCCAAACCCTCCAGTCACATGATTCCAGAAAGAGTTCAACTTTCATTAATCTGTTATTTGAATCCTTTATAGGCCTTAAGAACGCCTCTCCACCCCCCACCACAACCCACAGCACAACCCCTCGACTTCCAGCCCGGAGCTCAACAAAGGGGATTTTCCCCTCGCCTCGCCTTGCCCCCGTGGAAAGAATGATCGCATGAGTCTCCCTAGCCGGAAGGCAGGGAGTGTGGCTGGGGATAGACATCTTTCACCCCAGCAAAGTAGCAAAAGGTTTTTGCAAACGAGCGGAATGATCTCACACACATTCCTCCAGATTTCATCCGGCCGGGGTTTAGAGCAAACAAACAAACAAACAAACAAACTCCTGACCATCCCTCCATTCACTTCGGCCCAGAGAAGTCCTTTTCCTTTCAGTCTGGGGCACTGGGGGGGGGGGGAAGGATCAGAAGTGAGATTTATTTCTCCGGGGGGGGGAATAGGGGGCGGAACATCCAGATTTCCCCCCCTTTGTTTCTTGGCATTATGAAACACTTTGGAGGGTGATGAGGTGGAAAGGAGAAGGGAAACGGGGGGGGAAGCATTTCCCTCCCCCTGCAGTGGCCATTATTCATCACCGGAGAGGGTGGGTGGAAAAACTACTAATAGATGGACCTCGTTGATAACAATGGGAGAGGAGGCCTCAGAATGGGGCGGGGGGGGGGGGAGAGAAGAGAATCTCAAGCGGAAACTATTTAACTTTAAAACCCACTTTGAGTTCCATCCCATAAAGAAGGGGAAAGTCTGGGGGGGGGGGGGGGTGTTTCCTAGTGATGCCAACTGAGCGGGTGGTTTAACTTTTACCACTTCCACGCATCCTTTCCTTCCCCCCCCCCCATCTTAACAAAAGAAATAGGTGGGATGCTAGACGGCGAAGATGGGGGGCGTGGAGGGAGGAAGGAAAGAGGAGACAGAGCCCTGGGGGGGGGGGAAGTGTAGCTGGGGGGGGGTCTGGGAGGGGGGAGAATCAGGAGCGGAGGGAGGTTAAGAAGGGGGGGGCTTGCTCGGGCACAGGAGCAGGGCACGCTTAGGGCACACACACACACACACACAAAAGCCCCCCCCGCATCACACACAAGCCCACGCGTACCTTGCCTGCCCACTATCTCCGCCACGTGCTCCGAGCTGGGCACGGGGACGCACTCCGTGGTGTTGGAGCTGCTCTTGAGCCGCAGCTCCGACTCCTTGTACAAGGCGCACAACTTGGTCTCGGCGGTGGAAGCGGAGGACGAAATGGTCGCGGAGCCCTTCGGGGCCGGCGGGGGCGGCGGCGGCTGCTGCGGCGGCGGCGGCTGGGGCGGCTGGGGCTGGGGCGGCTGCTGGGGGGCGGCGGCGGCGGCGGGTTATTGTTGTTGTTGTCCTCCGCTCCCACCACCACGGCGGCGGCGGAGGAGGAGGAGGAGGAGGACGGCTCCCCCAGCCCGAGCAGGCACAGCTGATCCAGGGCGAGCTGCAGAGCTCGGTCATCCTCCAGCAGCGCCCTGTCCTTGCTGCTCCCCGCGAAGCAGCCTAGCTCGCCGAAACCCCCGTTCCTTTCCATTATCCCTGATACTACCAGGCTAGGCATGGCTAACAAAGACTTGAGAGGGGGGTTGGGTGGTGGTGGTGGTGGTGGGTTGGGGAGGGTGTGTGTGTGTGTGTGTGTGTGTGTGTGGTGGTGGCGGCGGGGGGGGGAGTGTGAGAGAGAGGAGGGGAGTTGGGGGGGGAACAAAGAGCTTGGGAGAGAGAGAGAGAGAGAGAGAAAGAGGAGGGGGAAAAAGGCAGAGAGAGAAACAGACAGAGGGAGAGAGAGAAAGGGACCCTCCGCCCACCTCCCCTCTCACTGGCCAAGCCCCTTTCTCTCTGTCTCTCCCGGTTCCTTTCTGTAACCTGATCTCTCTCCCTCTTTCTCTCCCAGGCACTTCCACTCCAGCGTGGATCCCCTCCCACCTTTGCACAGAAAAGATTCCCCCACGGGCCCCGTCCCCCCCTTTGGCAGACCCCGCCTGGCTTTTGAGGGGGGTGTGGAGGGAGAGGTGCAAGAAACAGCAGCAGCCAGCGTGTGCAAAAGGAGGGAGACAAGACGGGGGGGGGGGGACTCTTTTGTTTTAAATTCCCTGGCTGCAGCATGACACTGAGACTCAGGAGGGCCCCGGAGGCTGCTGGGGGATGTAGTTTCGCACCCAGGCGCACACACCCCCTTTTCCTGCTGCTCCTGCAGTCTGGGAAAGAGAGCGAGAGACAGAGAGGGAAAGAAAGAAAGGGAGGGAGGGAGGAACGGATGAAAGAAGGTAAGAAGCCTGGTCTTGTGGGTAAGGCACTGGCTTGGGACTCAGGAGATCTGACTTCGGCCACTGGCTCCCCTTGTGACCTTGGGCCAGTCACTTAATCTTGCATAATGACAGGTTTCAGAGTAACCGCCGTGTTCGTCTGTATTCGCAAAAGGAAAAGGAGGACTTGTGGCACCTCAGAGACTAACCAATTTATTTGAGCATAAGCTTTTGTGAGCTACAGCTCACTTCATCCGATGCTGTAGCTCACGAAAGCTTATGCTCAAATAAATTGGTTAGTCTCTGAGGTGCCACAAGTCCTCCTGTTCTTTTCACTTAATCTTGCAGCATCTGATCCCGCAACTGTAAAATGGGGACAATAATCCTTCCCAATCTCCACAGGATGCTGTAAGGATAAAATCCAGGAATAACAGCAAGGGGCTCAGATCCTGTTGTGATAAGTACTAGGGAGAGGACACTGGAAACTAGACAGGAGCAAAGAGAGAGAGAGAGATTTATTTAGACCTGGGCAAATCAGGAGTGAGTCCACTGAAATCTAGAGGAGAAGCAGCCCCAGAAGCTAGAAGGAGCAGTGGCAAAAAACAAGCTAGCTGGGAACAGAAAGGAATATGCTCACACAGGCCCCTGATTCAGCAACAGGGCTGCATGTGGGTACTCTGTGCCTGTGCAGAGTCTAATTCACTTCCGTGGGGAGCTCCAGTTGACAGAGGAATCAACACATTCATTGCAGGATCAGGGCCCTGTAGAGAAAGCAATACAGAAAGAGACCCAGAGCCAGAGAAGCAGACACACAGGGTCATTTCACTGTAGCCTTGTGCAGCTGTTTGCACCAGGGTAATTAACCTCTGGAACAATTTCCCAAGTATCTTGGTGGATTCTCCATCACTGACAATTTTCAAATCAAGATTGGATGCTTTTCTAAATGATCTGCTCCCCTAGGAAGTTCTGTGGCCTGTATTATCCAGGAGGTCAGGCTAAATGATCACCATGGTCCCTTCTGGCCTTGGAATCTGTGAATCTAGTGCAAAACGCTACCAGATCAGAATGCTCTCACTTCATGAGGGTGGAAACAACCACTCAAGTTGTAGGGCGACAGTAAATTGGCCCATGGAGAGAAAGAGACTGGGGAAGTGGGGCTGATTCTCCACTGCCTTGTGCACTGGTCCTTTGTACTGCTCTGGTTTGGTAACACACTTGCTTTGCACCCTTGTAAATGACAGCACAAGAGACAAGGGAATCAAGCCCACTAAGCAGAATTGGGCCATCTCAGACAAGATTTTTTTAAACCTCTTAACGGACAGAGACCCAACTTTAAAAAAAAAATCTTTCACCATCTACCAGAAGAAGTGAGATCCTTGGAAAGAAAAGACGAACAACCCTGCTTTCAGATGACTCCCCGATGAAGGATTTTCTACATCAGCCAGACTTGGCAGAGCTGCTAGGGTGGGGGATGGGGGCAAAGGAACTCATGTGCTACTTGTTCCATGCAAAAGCAGAAAACCCTTGAATTGATTGCAATAACCCAACCTCCCCTTCCCCCAAATCTAGAGATCGGGGGTGGTAGAAATACAGTGCTCCCTTTTCTTATTGAAATGAGGGGTGACTTGGTGGAAGGGGAGCATTGAAAATCGCTTTTCAGTTCCAAGCCTGCAAAGCTGTTTCCCTCCCTCCTTCCCCTTTCTTTGAATCAAACCAGATGTCTCTCCCATGAAATGAGATTGCATGAGCTCACGCTGGAGAGAGACAATGCAGAAAGATGCAAGACCCCATTGAGCCACGCTACACTGCAGCTTTGGCAGAGGCGACGTCTGCCTCTCTGGCTGGAGGGAATAGTGTGTGTGTGTGAGTGTGTGTAGTGGGTAGCCTTGTTCTGAAGCAGGAATTTGCTACCCCGCACTGTATTTTGCATTATTTCCTCTCTCTCTCTCCCTCTCTCCCTCCCAGATCCTTGCAACTAGCTCTCTCTCTCTCTCTTTCTGGTTCTGCTGCGGCAGAAGATCTCAGCTTGCAAATGAATTAAGCAGATAAGGGATACTGCACAAGGAAATGTCTCATCCAGTGACTCACAAGGTAAGGTGTTGCTACAGCTTTCTTTGCAACTTTGCCTGGGCAGTTTGGGAGTGGGTATTTTGTGTCTTTTCCAACCAGCCTCCCTGGTCCATGGCAAAAAGTCAGCCGCATGCTGCAACACCATCAGATCAGACAGCCCTGCAAGTTTTGTTTTGCTACAGCATATGAAATGATTCTATTCTTGTTTCAATATTTCATGTTTATGATGCGATCGGAAAAAACCCAAGTAAAATAAGAACAAAAAAGCCACCGTGTTAGATTTAGTGCATCTTGTTCTATGATTTTAGAATTGTGTAATGTGTATGTATATCCATATGTGCTTACATGTAAACCTACACGCATCATACACACACATTGTATTCATAACGCATGCGTACTCATGTATGAGACATGAACACTACATATACTCCAGGATAAGTCTATATGTGCATTTATTTAATATAGTCATATACTCACACTCAATCACGCGTACACATACACACACGATCGATATCAATTACACAAATGCACACATAGACAATGATATATAGAGAATAAAGTATGTGTGTATATATAGATATGTACTGTGTATATGTACGCATAATATGTGCATATATCTGTGTGCATAAAGTGTGTGTGTAAGGTGTGTGAGTGCATATATATAGTGTGTGGGCATACTTAGTGTGTATGTTTTTGGGTAAAGTGTGTGTGCGTACACAAAATACGTATATATACTGTAGTTGTGTGAGCTTACACACACACTATAGTTTTTGGGGTGAGTGACAGAATATATATCTTTTGAGAAACAATGTACTTGTCTTCTAAATTATAGCATTCACAAGTTGTTTTTCACCTGGTCAGAGTTTGATCTCTTTAGAGTGACAGGCAGTGATGCCTTGTCTTTAGGTATCACTTCATTTTAGGGAGACGGTTTCTCTTCCAACTCCCATTTTATGATCCACCCTATAATTCAGGAACAGAACTGTGACCCCTAAAGCAATGAAAGTGGGGGGGAGGGGAAGAGTAATTCTGATGTTTATAGGCTGATATTGCAAATACTGGCTCACTTTACTCAGGCAAATAGCCCCATTAATGTCAGAGGGGCAACTTGCACAGGGCTTGCTTGTTACTTACTCACATGAGTAAGCGTTTGTATAACAAAGTGTTTATTTACTCCTTCACATGACACAAGAACCAGGGGTCACCCAATGAAATGAATAGGCAGCAGGTTTAAAACAAATCAAAGGAAGTACTTCTTCACTCAACGCACGGTCAACCTGTGGAACTCCTTGCCAGGGGATGTTGTGAAGGCAAACACTATATCGGGCTTCAAAAAAGAGCTAGATAAGTTCATGGAGGATAGGTCCATCAATGGCTATTAGCCAAGATGGTCAGGGGTGCAACCCCATGCTCTGAGTGTCCCTAGCCTCTGATTGTCAGGAGCTCGGTGTGGACGACAGGGGATGGATCACTGGATGATTACCTGTTCTGTTCATTCCCTCTGAAGCACCTGGCACTGGCCAATCTAATGGGCTTGATAGACCACTGGTCTGACCCAATATGGCCGTTCTTATGTTTGTAGGAAGGGCTACTGTGCTTGAAATCCAAACTGAGATTTGAATACAAATAGGTCACGCCAACACCCAACATGCCTTTGAGTTTGATGGGTGTTCGGAATCCTGATCTGGATTATGGTGGAGCAGTAGTACCACCATAGTTCTGGTTACTAGTTTAGTGTGTAACAGCCAGAGGGGCTAGGGATGCACCTTAACTCTGTATTTCCTGGTTTTCAGAGGTTTAAACGTGGCTGCATACTTGACATTCTGGAAGGGCCTGGGGCACTGCCAGTCAAACTTAACGGTACATTAGCTAACTTTTGGGGCAGCGAATTTAGATCCACAATTTGGCCCTGATCCTGCAAGCTGCTCCCTGTGGTGGGGATATCTGTGCCCACGAAATGCCCCAGTGACTTCAGTCAGACTGCACATGGGTGTCGGGGGGTCTGCCCATGCAGAAGAGATTGTGGGATTGGGGTCTGAGGTGCTGTTTAACTGTGTCCGTTGGACAGCATTGTGTATATAGTCCATTTCACAGTTTCTCCTGTACAGTCCACTAGGGCAGGGGTTCTCAACCTGTTTCTTTCTGAGGCCCCCCACAACATGCTATAAAAACTCCTCAGCCCACCTTTGCCACAACTGTTTTATGCATATCCAGTAGATTAAAAGCCAGGGCCAGCATTAGGGGGTAGCAAGCAGGGCAACGGCCTGGGGTCCGACACCACAGGCAGCCCTGCGAAGCTAAGACAGGTCAAACGCCGGCCCT